GAAGATCTAGTCTAATTTACCTCGGGCGGGTCGCACGTTTTGCAGGCCTCCTCGAGAGCTGTATCCTCTTCCTGCTGCGGAGGGTACGTCCTCTGTCTCTGTCGTTTCTGCGCCACAACTTCCATGGGATCCGTCGTCGTCTGTGGCACGTACGACATCTCGTTGTTCTCGTACGTCTCGTAATCGTTCTGAGCCATTTTCCTCAATCGGGCCATAGTCTCGGCGTGCAACGCCAAATGAGCGGCCCTCGCGTGGGCCACTTCCGGCGTGTCCATCACCATCCCATCGCTGGTCAATGGCGCCAGTGGTCCTTTGTACTGGTAGTATTCCCTGTCCTCGTAAGGCTCGGCGATCGTCGACGCCACTAATGCGGCCAGAACTATCTGAAATAGTGCAACGAACAGTCACGCTGCGTTTCTTTTAAGATTCTTTCCCCTCAAAATTGATTCCCCTCGCGACACATGCGTGTCTGACGCAGTAAAAATTTAAGACAAGAAAGATTAATTTTAAGATTAGTTTGGACAGAGAGAGAGAGAGTAACTTGGAATTTAAGATGCAATGTTTAAAATATTCTGGAAACTCAGTCTCGTCCATTGGGACGATTTATTAATTTTTACCAATTGGTACAAAGAATTTTTAGAGGCTTTTCCAATGTGTACGTGTGTGTGTGTGAGAGAGAGAGAGAGATGAATTTCACAGGGAAATTTGATCATTTGTCGGGAAAGTGGATGGAGAATTGTTAAATTGGTTCTTCAGAAGAATCCTTTTAGAAGAGTTTAAGAAACTCCCTCCGAGTGTTCGTACGAAATCTCAGCCAATAATTCTTTTTAGTTTCGACATTCAAATCCCTCGTCTATCGAAAACTTGAAACTTGCACGAAACGATTTTTCCCCCTTCGGACTTGCAAGTCCCACTTACGAGCAAGCTCATGCTGCTGGACACCACCGACCACGAAACGGACGTCTCGATTGCGAGTGTGGCTAGTCGGATCGGTCGGCCTAGCTTTTATAGCTACCACCGTGCGAGCAAACCACGTTACGATGATCAACACCAGACACGAAAAACGATACCTTAATTGTTTTCTCGCGAGCCACACGTTTTCTGTTCGATTCGCGTGCAAGTGGAGATGTTTTGAAGTCGAAACGAGCGAACACAGGACGAATAGAGGTTTCTTTGAAGGGAAAGAAATAATTGAGAAAATGGCAAAGGAATCGTTAATTTCAGAATATTTAATTTTATTCAACTTTCAAAATCGTCGATAGAATTGTTGAATTTTCTCGGTGGAATTGCCACTTTTCTTTTCAGCTTCACCGCAGTATTATGTATATGCCAGAACGAAATGCCAGGGTGTGAAACGTCTTGGAATTAAAAATATCGCAAACAGCGAATATATTCGAAAATTCGAAAACTTTCGAGTTTGAAAAATATTCGAGAAATATAGGATAGAGACGATGCAGTTTCTCACGAACGTCCCTGATGTTTCGTCTCGACTTTTCGAGGTCAGTTTTCACGCGTTGCAATATCAACGGCTCTCGCCGCAAAGCTAACACAGGCAGAAAACTTTTCTGTGGTTTCCGAGACGTGGCCGATTCACGGACGACTGGACCGGATCATAGATCCTCCTAGTGATGCAGTAATCCCTTCAAGGCAGTCCTCTTTCGACGATGAGAGCTCCCGTTCCCTTATAAACGATGGCCCAGATACAACCTGACTCCAAACCACTCCTCGATGCCTGTCTAACTCGTTGCACGCTGAATTAATTTTTCCTCTCTGCTAAACTTTACCGACCAGAATTTGCTTTGCTCGCGAGGGAAGAAGGATTATCGACCGATTGGATTTGAGTCGGAAATTTAGGAATCGACGAGTTTAGAAAATCATCTGAACGAAGAACCCTTTCTGGAAGGTTAAATCAAGTCAGAGCTCAAAGTTCAAAGTTGAAAATGAAGGGTTACATTTGAAATATATGAATTTCTAGAAATTTCGAGACAAGAATGGAGAAGAATTTAAATTTTATCGTCTGGAAAGATGGACAAGCAATTGCATTTCCAATTTTCCATCAACGGCGATCCGGATCAATGTTCGCGCTGAATTGTCCGCCACTGGAACACAGTTCGCTCGTGTAATTACACACATTACACGCAGCAAGTAAATTAGAATGCTGACCCCGTTCGGTTAATTAACGTCGATTCAGATTCCCTGTTTACACGGTAACACGATATAATTCGGTCGATAACTTCGTCGAAACAAGTTGCGCAAAACTTTTACGCAAACTGGGTCCTCTAACGAGCAACGGGCGCGGGACGTACCGTGTGATTAGATCACGTTTGCTTGAAATTCACATCTTCAATCGCTTTATTACGTTGCACATCATGTTTTGTTCGCCGAAGTAGATTTAGTTTGGAAAACTAATCGCGTCACGTCTTCTCAAACGAGACGAAATCACCTTTTTTGAAATCGTCATTTCATCAACTTTGAAATTAAATTTAATCAAACTTATTTCAATGTGAGATTTCATGTGCGTGCGTTTGAACGTGAGGAACGTGCCAGTTTATAGGAGTTATAATTTTCACCTTCTTTGCGAAACACGACGAATCACGATGCATCGATGCGACTTGGTCCAGAAATCCACGTTTCTCTCCCCGATTCGTTTGCTCTCACGTGTTTCGTACACCGGCGTGACCTATGTCGCAAGAATTACGATCTGACGGTGGCTAGTAACTAGTAACCGTCTAGTGTTTCGTAAACTTGTACAACTCTCTCGATTACGAGCAAATTATGGCTTCGACAAAGCTGAAATTCGGAAACTTCTTTCATCCGAGTTAACTCAATTCGTCCAAATTCAACTTGAACTTAAAATCGACAAATTTTCACGAATTTCCCAGTGTCGAATTTGTTGCTCGAGGAAAATAATGGAAATGTATTTACGTTTTTGGTGGTCAATCAAGCAAATCGTTTTTTTTTTTT